AAAAAAAAAAAAAAAATCAGCCGAGCATGGTGGCATATAGTCCCAGCTACTTGGGAGGCTGAGGTGGGAGGATTGCTTGAGCCTGGGAGATACAAGTTTCAGTGAGGCAGGATTGCACCACTGCACTCCAACCTGGGCAACAGAGCAAGACTCTGTCTCAAAAAAAAATTTTTTTTCAAAGAATAAAAAAAATCAATGAGAAGCAAAGTGATATAATCATTTTAAAAGAGAGCTTGTTGTTCTAGAAAGAGCATAAACACTGAAGAGTTATCTCTCCTCAGAGAAATGTGGATTCAAATTAGGAGCCAAGTAGTCAAGACGCCAAGATGTAGCTAGGGCCACTGTTTAAAGTGGGAGCTGCAGTTAAAAACCAGTTACTATAGCAGCACTGCTGACTCATCAATGCCCTGTTTCATTAGATTATGATTGGATTAATATGTATATATTAGATTCATTCTGTAGAACTTTTGTGTAAAGTTACTTTTTTTTATATAGCATGTATTCCCACGGGGAGAAAAAAAACACAAGCCCAAGGATTTTCACACTCAAAAAGGAGCATTCTAACTTTATCAATGTGCCTCCTAAGTCATTTCATTTCCCTATTCAAAGCTGCAAGAAAATGTCATCAAATAGTCAATACAAATGCTCTTTGCATGCTCAACAGTAAAGAACTGTATGCTTGTATTGAAATATGCTGGCACACAGCACTCCATTTACTCCTATTTTATTGAGCAATATTACTGATCATAAAACTTGGATGTTGTGTTGTTAAACAATGCTATAACTGCAAAATATATTAGGCGCATATGGAAAAACTAGGAAAATACGTAATCATAAGAAGAGGAAAATATAAATGATAAAATTATACTCTCTGGATCTAAGAATTAATCCAATATTTTTTATTTGTCTGCTTTCCTTGTGTGATCTTGAGTAGGTTACTTTAAGGCAAGTTACTTGCCAGGCTTGGTGGTGTGCACCTGTAGTCCCAGCTACTCTGGAGGCCGAGGCAGGAGAATCACTTGAACCCAGGAGGGGGAGGTTGCAGTGAGCCGAGATCATGCCACTACACTGCAGCCTGGGTGACAGAGCAAGACTCTGTCTCAAACAATAAATAAATAAAATATAAATAAATAAATAAATAAATGACTTGTGAATACTGCCACCATTCCAGACAGCAGCAGAATCCTCTTCTGGGAATAATTATTTGGGGATTTTTATGGAGCATACAATTCACTGGCATCCTAATGAAACTGTACTCATTTTTTAAATGTTTAGTATACAGTATAAAAGACTGCTAAGATTTGAAAGATTTAAAATTGTACATTGTTCAGAGATTATCAGTGTTCGTTAAAATGTCACTAATTTTATGTTTGTCATTAATATTAGGCATTCAATAAGCAGTTGCTAGTTGGCTGATCATGCGACTGCTCAGGTAACAGAGTTGATTAACAGTGAATGGGGTTATCATGGCTCCTCTGGACTTAAAACAAAAAAATTGCTTACAACTTCACCATTAGAACTGTGTGAGGGCAGGAACTGTATCTTCTTCAATTGTGCTTAAATACAGCATTTGGTACGTAGTAGGGCTCAATGCATGTTGAATTAAGCTCTATAGAATGATTTAAATGATTTAACCACTTATCTAAGTTTCACAGGTTCTCTAATTTTAAAAATACAAGTAAATAAAATACAAATTAATGCTACTTGGAAAAATGCTGATTTTAGTACTGTGGCAGGAAAACATATAAAAGATGAGTTATGAGCATCTTGTGGTATCAAAGAGTAAGGAAGTGCTAAAACAAATAAACAGAGACAAAAAACCTGTACAATGATGGGAATATGTCAAAGTGATAGAGGAACAAACAGAAAGAGCTGCCAATGGCTGTAGCTGGAACAATTTGAGCAATAAAATAAAGTAGTATGGGAGTATAACCCAAAGTATAAAATAAATATTCTAAGACTCCATCCTGATATAGGCAAATGATTAAATAAATAAGTAATGAGGGGAAAGGAAGTAAGAGATTGGAAAGCCCAGATTGTGAAGACTACAATAAATACTTAATTTTTCAATGCTCAGACACCAATGAACATCTACAAGCATTACCAATGAACATCTACAAGCATTAACACCATCCAGGAAACATGATCTCACGAAATGAACTAAATAAGGAACCAGGGACCAACCCTGGAGAAACATAGGTATATGAACTTTCTATCCTATTTCATATATCTATGAAAGTTCATAGATATATGAACTTTCAGGCAGAGAATTCAAAGCAGCTGTTTTGAGGAAACTCAAAGAAATTCAATATAACACAGAGAAGGAATTCAGAATTCTGTCAGATAAATTTAACAAAGAAGCTGAAATAATTTAAAAGCAGCAGAAATTCTAGGGTCAAAAAATATAACTGACATGCTGAAGAATGCATCCAAGTTTCTTAATAGCAGAATAGTTTTGTTTCTGTTTTGTTGTTGTTGTTGTTGTTGTTGTTTTTTGAGACAGGGTCCCACTTTTTTATCCAGGCTAGGGTACAGTGGTGCCATCATAGCTCACTGTAACCTCAAACTCCTGGGCTCCAGTGATGGTCCCACTTCAGCCTCCCAAGTAGTGAGACTAGAGATGTATGCCACCATGCCCAGCTAATATTTTATTATTATTATTATTATTATTATTATTATTAGGTAGAGATAGGGTCTTGCTATGTTGCCAGTGCTGGACTTGAACTCCTGGACTCAAGTGATTCTCCTCCCATCTTGGTCTCCCAAAGTGCTGAAATTATGAGCCACCATTCTCAGCCTCTTTTTTTTTTGTTTTTTGAGACTGAGTCTTGCTGTGTCACCCAGGCCAGGCCAGAGTGGAATGGTGCGATCTCAGCTCACTGCAACCTCCACCTCCTGGATTCAACTGATTCTCCTGCCTCAGCCTCCTGAGTAGCTGGGACTACAGGTGTGTGCCACCACGCCCGGCTAATTTTTGTATTTTTAGCAGAGATGGGGTTTCACCATAGTGGCCAGGCTGGTCTTGATCTCTTGACCTTGTGATCCACCCGCCTCAACCTCCCAAAGTGCTGGGATTACAAGCGTGAGCCACAGTGCCTGACTAGAAGGGTGAACATTAAAGACTGACAACCCCACATGCTGGAAAGCATGTGAAACAAGTGGAACTCTTATACCTGACTGGTGGGAATTGTAAAATGGTACAACCACTTTGGAAAACTGCTTGGCAATTCCTTATAAAGTTAGACATACCCATAGCCAAGGGTGACAGCACCCGCTTATAGTCCCAGCTATTCAAGAGGCCAAGGCTGCAGTGAGCTATGATTGTGCCACTGCATAGCCTGGGGGACAGAGAGACCTTGCTTCTAAAAAAAAAAAAAAAAATTAAGTTAAACATACCCAGAACGACCCAGAAATTCCAATCCTGTATTTCCTCAAGGGAAATAAAACATGCCCACAAGGACTTGTACAAGAATGGTTATAGCAACTTTGCTCATAATAGCCAAAAATTGAAAGCAATACATATCAATCAACTGGCGAATGCATAAACTATTCAATGGAATGCCTCTCAATGACAAACACTACTAACTTCTGGTTCACGCGGACCCAACAGAGTACCTATCACCTTCATTTTTATAGTGTCAGAAATAAGAGGAGTGGTTGCTGATGCGGTGGGAGATGGACTGGAAAGAAACAGGCCACTCTTCTGAGTGATGGAAATGCTCCACGTCCTGATTGGGTGGCAGTTACACAGCTGTGTACATTTACCAAAACTCATCAAATTGTCCACTGGGGGGGAAAAAACTATTATTTTTTTTTTATTTATTTTTTTGAGACAGAGTCTCGCTCTGTCGCCCAGGCTGGAGTGCCATGGTGCGATCTCCGCTCACTGCAAGCTCTGCCTCCCAGGGTCACGCCATTCTCCTGCCTCAGCCTCCCGAGTAGCAGGGACTACAGGCGCCCGCCACCACGCCCGGCTAATTTTTTGTATTTTTAGTAGAGACGGGGTTTCACCGTGTTAGCCAGGATGGTCTCGATCTCCTGACCTTGTGATCTGCCAGCCTCGGCCTCTCAAAGTGCTGGGATTGCAGGCGTGAGCCACTGCGCCCGGCAAAAAAACTATTATTTTCACTGTACGAAAACTTCGCCTCAACAAAAAACAAACTAGAAAAGAAAAAAAAGGGGGGAGGGGCTAGCGACGTTGAAAAGTAACACTAAACGATGTAAGTTTTCAATAATTGGGGTAAGCCTTTTTTAAAAAACGTATAGTAAAGAAAACATTTCAAGAAGGTCTGCTGGGTTCCGTGACTAAACAAAGATATTAAAAAGCCCTGAATCCAGTTTGGGCAACGTAGTGAAGCCCTGTCTCTACAGAATTTTTTTAAAGTTAGCCAGGCGTGGTGGTGCGCGCCTATAGTCCCAGCTACTCGGGAGGCTGAGGTGGGAGGATGGTTTGAACCCAGTAGGTCGAGGCAGCAGTGAGCAGTGAGCAGTGGTCGGTGCCCACCGCACTCCAGCCTGAGCGAGACTGATACCTTGTCTCAAAAAACAAAAACAAAACCAAAAAAAGCCGCAGGAGTTCTGGGGGAGATTTCCCGCAGCCCAGTTTCGCCAGGGGCCCAGCATCACCCCCTGGGCTCCGCCGCCCACTCATGCCCTTCACCTGAGGTGAGCGCCCCCACCGCTCCACCCCTTCTCATCCCGCGTCGCCGTCCCGCCTATTTTCCCTCTCACACCCATCTTTTGAACCGTCCCTTCACCTTTCAATCAATTCAAATATCGCAAGGAGAAAACCAATCGCAAGCCTAATTGAGTGGAAGGGGCGGGATCTTCCACGGAAGTGTTGGTTAAAGCCCCTCCAATCAGCGGCTCCGTGCGGAAAGTTTGAATTTCGTGGAGGCTCGGGTTGTGAGGGTTCCTGCTTCGGAGTCGGCGGTGGTCGTCCAGAACGAGTGTTTTTTACTTTTTGTTTGGTTGAGGTTTCACGCCAGAAGGTGCCTCAGGTAGGTGGGTGCTGAAGAGCTGGACGGAGAACGCTGGCCCGCTTCCGTTGAAGGTCTAGAAGGGTCTGAGGACCGGGGACTGCGAGCGTCGGAGCCAGTCAGAGGCAGGCTCCTTTAGGAGGGTGTTACCTGCTCTTCCTGAAGCTGATAACGCGAACCTTTAGAAGAGTCCGTATGTTTGTCGTGACCTCTGTAGAAGTCAGTGTTTCACCACCGGGGCGTAATTGGCCTTTGGGGTGAAACTGTTCTTCACTAGCTCCGACATTAAATTTCCGTAGCTCTTCCCAGATCCCATGGCAACTAGAAACGCCCGGTTGAGAACCTCTAGTCAAGCAAGATTAACGCATTCTAGACTTTCAAGCTGGAGGAAACGCCACTCAGCCAAACAAAATTTAGGTGTGTGTGAAGAGTCAGGGTGCCTGGCTTGGGATCCCGGCTTCACCACCTTTTAGATATGCTGATGTGAGCTGTTAATTGACCTCATCTGTATGAGAGCGATAATAGTAACTATCTTTCAGGGTTATTCTGATAATTATACCTTTAATGTTGTCCTCGCTCGCTCTTTCTCTTGCTGTGGATAGTGCTGTCCTGTATTTAATACATAAGTCTTAATTTTTCTTCAATCTTCAGCGAATTAATACTGCAGGAGATAAATAGTGGAAAAGAGTTCTTTATGAAAAGCACAGTCCATTGTCACTTTCCTTGGGTCTTAGAGGAGAATGTTATTAGCGTGCACGTCAGATTCTCATTTTTTATATTTTGTCGATTGCTTAGAATCATATAACAATTTATTACATTACTTGTGCCAATTTTCCTATTGTCTGGAGTTTTCTAGTGGATTTAGTTAATTCTTGTTGAAGAGTATACCATAGTGTGCCTATCACAGAGCCTCCCCCCTTACCTTTTTTTTGTTTTTTGTTTTTTAACTGCCAAGACTTCTGAGAATCAGTATCCTTTCTCCAGTTTGGCTTGGTAGTTCTCTATACCAGCTACCCAGATGACCCCCTCAAACTTTCCAGTTTTCTTTGTTCTCCCCAGTTGGACCCACTGGCATCGTCTTTATTGTCCTCTTTTGTTTTGCTTGAATACATTCTCAAAGATCTTTCCAAGAAAAAGGCATGTGCCAAGTAAACTATATGATTTCGTGCATGTGTGTGTGTGTGTGTATGTGTGTATGGCTTTTCTTTCTTAAAATTTATAGAGATGGAGTCGTGTTATGTTGCCCAGGCTGGTCTCAAACTCCTGGGCTCAAGCAATCCTCCTGCCTTGGCCTCCCAAAGTGGTAGGATTATAGGCCTAAGCCACCCTGCCAGCCTAAACTGTATGATTTCTTGTATGGATGAAAATAATGGAGCAAACTGATAGGGTTATTGTGAACTATATATTTGGTCTTGTTCTGTTTTCTGGTAAACTACTACTACTAAAATCCTTGGAGTCTTCGAAGTGGTATCTTTTTGTATGCTAATGATTGACTGATAGCTGGATGCCTCTCAGTAGCTTCTGGATTGAGGCTGGTCACTAGACAGACCAAGGCAGGATTAGAGAGTTGGGATTTTCAGCCCCACCTCACAACCTCTGGGGAGGGGAGAGGAGCTGAAGGTTGACTTGATCACCAGTGGCCAATGATTTAATCACTCATGCTTATGTAATGAAGCTGCCGTAAAAAACAAAAAAAAAACACCTGTGTTTGGAGAGCTTCTTAGGTGAACACATGAAGGTTCCTAAACGGTGGTGCTACCTGAGAGAGCATGGAAGCTCCTTGTTCCTTTCCACATACTTTGCCCTGTGCCTCTCTATCCAACTCTATCTGTATCTGGCTGCCTATTGATTATCTCTACATGACTAATAGGTACCTGGTGTGGGGTTTTTGTTTGTTTTTGGGTTTTTTTGCTTTTTTTTTGTTTTTTTTTTTTTTGGCTTTAGAGGAAATGTTAGACTACCTGCATTCGTCATCATGGGTAAGGAAACAATTCTGTACATGGTCCTTCACTTAACCTATTTTCACCTTTAGTTCACGCTTTTCTTTTTGCAGTGTTCTCTAAGCCCAGAGCCTCTTTTATTCTGGACTATAGCTTCCTGGCTTTCTCTTCATCGGTCAAGCAAGTTCCTATTTAAAACCCCCCAAATAGGTAGCTTCTTATGCTCTGATAATCTTCTTCCCACTTTTCAGTGTTACATATTTCTTTCATTGCACATTTTATATTTTCATTTCAGAAGGCCCTGAAGTGGGACAGGAGATGAACTATAATCTTAATTTTTTAAATAATGAAAATTCATGTAAGTTGGGTTTTGTCCTTTTCCTTGACAGGATGTCTTCATCACATTTTGCCAGTCGACACAGGAAGGATTTAAGTACTGAAATGATTAGAACTAAAATTGCTCATAGGAAATCACTGTCTCAGAAAGAAAACAGACATAAGGAATACGAACGAAATAGACACTTTGGTTTGAAAGATGTAAACATTCCAACCTTGGAAGGTAGAATTCTTCTTGAATTAGATGAGACTTCTCAAGAGCTTATTCCAGAAAAGGCCATCGTTAAGCCAAGTAAGTAAAAGTCTGTTGTAATTTTAAGTACTTTGAAGAGTGAATAATAGTTGGTTTAATGCCTGTGTGAGTAAAAAACCCTGGCCAGAAGAATTTTGAAATATCATTCTATAAATAACTTTTTTTTTTGGTCTTTTTCCTTTTTTTCTTTCTTTTTTTTTTAATTACAAGAGACAGGGTCTCACTGTCACCTGGGTAGGAATGCAGTGGTGTACTCACTGTAACCTCAAATTCCTGGGCTCAAGGAATTCTCTTGCCTCAGCCTCCCAAAGCGTAGGGATTACAGGCATGAACCACCACGCCTAGCCCCTTAACCTGTTTTCTACAACTAACTACTGTCTTTAAGGCAAAGCCATTTACCTATGGAGTATTATAACACTTTATCTATATTGCCTCATAGAAATCCTAAAGTTCTTATGGAGCTTGGGTAGGGTAAGTGTTAATAAGACAAACTGATAAGCAATGTAAAAATAGAATAATTAAAGTATCCATGAAATGAGAGTACTTTGTCAATGGAAACATTACTAAGAAGAGCAAAGAATCCATCCTTGCAGTTTGCCCAGAAGGATTGGGACCATTAGGATGGAGGGAACCAACTAAAGAAGAAAGGAATAATCTCAGAAAAAGATGAAAATAGAGCATCTTAGAAGGCAAAGGATGCTACAGAGAAGAGAAAGGGAACTGAAAAATGACTTGTGTTTAGTCAGGAGTCACCCTACTCCTATTTGTTGTGTTCATATAGCAGGCATTAGGAGCTAGATGGCATTGAATAATGCTAGGATAAATGGGGAATGGCAGAAAGAACCAAACATTTTTTATTTGAGAAAGGGTGGTAGTGTTACCTCCTAAGTCATCTCCTTACCTTTACTCTTGTCCTCTCAAATGTTCCATTTCTTAACCAAAAATATTTCAAATAAAAGTCAGTCAGTATGACTTTTGTCAGTATGACTACTGTCAGTATGCTATGAACTATGTCAGTATGCTATTAAAATATCCTTTATTTCCCATTTGCAAAGGCTTAGAGGTAGGAGTGTGCCTGATATGTTTTAGTGAATGCAAGTAGGTAACTGGGTATAAAAGAATGAGCAAGGGTGATAGATTGCATAGAATCCTAAGGACCATCATTATAAGGACATTGACTTTTACTCTGAAATGAGAAGCCATTAATGAGTGTTTATATAATCTGATTTATATTTTAAAAGGATCACTTTGGAGTCAGCTACTCCAGAGGCTGAGGCAGGAAATCTGGAGCTCAGGAGTTTGAAGCTTAGTGTGCTACGATGGTGCCTGTGAAAGGCCACTGCACTCTGGCCTGGG